TGTGTTGTCTGAGTGTTGTCATTTTAGCAGAGACTGGGAAAGGGCGGGTTTAAAGTGGGGGAGGGGAGGGGGGTCAGGTAATTATATAAAAAAATCTTTAACTATTTCTAGAGGATTTAGAATACATTCCTGATTTAAAATGCGTTCCCAACTTAGAACGAGTTCTTGATAACAAGAACACATTAACGATTTTAACCGTCTTTTCAAGAAATTCCCGTTCCGTTCCGTTCCGTTCTTTTACTAATCATTCCAATATTTCCAAGTACGCCTTCTAAGTATTCGTTTTTTTTTCAGAACAATGGGATCGTTCTTTATCGTTCAGTTTGTTCTTGGGAAAGAACAATCGTTCCACCAGGAACGTGCCCAACGCTAGGTTGTACTGTCTCCTATATCCTCCTTTGCTTCCACACTCCTTATTACTTCTAGGTTTCGGTGTTCCAGGAAGGACAAGGTGGGTCACATTAAATAACAGTCCTAGACTGTTGACTATTAACAGTTTCTCATCTTCTTGTTGTAACTGGACATTAAGGATGATTTTAAATGGACATGGAGGAGGGCTCGTGCTAAACAAGTAAGCGCGATTTTCGATTAAACATCCTCCCTACCCCTTGAATACAGTCCGCTGGAAGTGCAGCCCTACACATTTGAGCAACCACTTTCCCTGCAGCATTACGAAGAACAGTTTCTTTAGTCTTGGATAAACACTAAACTCTCTTGGACCACTTGAGAGTGATGGAGCTGCAGATTCACACCTTGGCAGTACGTGTTATAAAAATTCACTGTGATATAGCTCTCACCGGTGGAGCGGTCAGCGCATTGAATCAAAATATATTTATAAGTTTTAGGATACTATACAAGGGATATTTATATTTATTACAAACATATAATAAAACATATAATGCTTTATGAGCGAAGAGTTTTATATATTTAGATTTATGCTTTTGAAGATTGTAAAGATTATAAAGATTATAAAAAAATATAAAGATTATCAGATTATAAAGATTATAAAGATTATAAAGATTATAAAGATTATAAGGATTATAAAGATTATATAGATTATAAAGATTATAACGATTATATAGATTATAAAGATTATATAGATTATAAAGATTATCAAGATTATAAAGATTATAAAGATTATAAAGATTATATAGATTATAAAGATTACAAGATATTATGATTATAAGGATTATAGATGATGCTTATATCCACATGAGCATAATTCTCTCTAACATAAAACCTGAAAATGATGGGACTGTTCCCAAAATTCTCAAGAATCTCCGTTTATTCTCTAGATCCCTCCTAGAACACAGGTATAACAGGGTGTCCCACGAAACATGTCACTTTTCGTAAGTCCCCTCAAAATGACTAATCAAACTCTAAACAATGGACAAATCTATTTTACGTAAAAAAATGCCATTAAGTGAAACTGATGATTACTTTTTAATTTCATAACAAAAAATACGCATGTGAAAATTTTACTTTTCATCTTAATTTTTAAATTCTTCTTTTTTTTACTTTTTAAATTTTATTTAGTGAAGGCACTCCTCTTCATATTATGTTTTTAACGGATGAAAAATCCAAGGTGAGAATTTTCAAAGATTTTCGCCATATCTATTTTTATTAAAACCTTTATAAAAGATACTGCATATGCAATTACAAGTCAGATTCACAACCTGATTCTAAATTTTATTATCTAGAATAAATATATCCATTCTTGTATCTTTGAAAATTGATTATTTTCAGTTGCAGTTCCTCGTGTAACTTAATCCTAAACAGGCGGGGGGGGGGCGTTCGGCGACCCCCTTTAGTTGTTTAGCCCTACCACTGTCATTTTTGACATAGGTACAGGGTGGTAAAAAGTCCGGTCTGTGTAAAAATTTAAAATAGTCCATAACATTTGTATGACTAAAGCTACAGATCTAAAAACTATATTTTTGAAAAGCCCTTGAAAATGGATTTAGAGACATGTTACACACTTTGATATTTGTTTTGATCAAAAAAATACTTTTTTACTTTTTTGGACCTTTTTTATGCATTTTTTCAACCCTCCCTAGCACACAAACTACAAAAGTTGGTGGCCTTGCAAAATTGGGCTATGAACAATGAAAATGCTTGCGAACCCAATATCTATTCTCTATGGCCTTTTTCTAGGGGGAGGGGGAGGGGACCCCCCAGTCTATACATAGATGCAGACCCCCCAGCCTCTATAGAGTTTAAAGATTGAAAAAAAGTTTAACATTGGGTTAACCAAAATGATCTCTTGAAAATTATAAGCTCATATTTTTTATCATTTCCTTTTAACATTATCAGTCAGAGATTAAGAAAGTAATCCGAGAAGAGATAGGCCGACAACTCTCATATCATGTGATCTACCCTTTCTTCATTCTGACGAAAAACAGGAAATTTCCCAAGTAAGCGCTAGGTTTGTAATAAGAAAAAATAAACGTATTTGTCGTAATCCGGGAAAATTTATTAATGTCTTCATCAAATTTTGAGAAAAGCTTCAAACTATAATTTGGAAATCCTAAGACTAAGTGGTCTGTGATTATTATTTGTTATGGGCTAATAACAAACAGATGTTTTCACAAGAAAAAGGTTGTAAAGATTAAAGAGGGTTTAAGAGTTGTCACTAAATTCCAGTGTTTATTTGGACACCCTACATGAAAATATTTGTACAATACTACCTTATTCAAACATGTCTTAATATAACATCTTATCTTTCTTAACACAGCTTGTATTGTTGTATCTTAGACTGATCTCAATAAGAGTGAACAGTCCCTTAGATACAACGGGATGAGATTCAGTACAGCCTGAACCTTAGAAGAGAAGACACGCATATACAGCCGTCCGTCTTCCACTATCGTTCCGGGCCTCGTACTACTAGCACAGCTTACAGAGAGCTTCCATGAATACGAGCAATGATGAAGAACCAATGATGAACCAAGCACACGGACTGACACCTGATGATGGACATGATGAGGATTTGATGGCCAACGGACCGAAGGAGATGATGAGAGAGATGTACAACTTCCTGGGCGAGATATCAGAACAGATACAAGCATTCAGTGCCAGCATGCATAAGAATGCAAGCTCTAGTCAACCACCAGTGGTCCCTGATGATAAACTGTGGGACACGGGGTTAGCATGGGAAAGGGAGTTTGATCTCTACCCAAATGCAAGTAGAGATGTTGTTATATCTCGCTTGTATAACCAGGTCTGGGACCTGCTCCAGAAGATGAAGGAGCGCGTTATCCAACGAACCTGGAAAACAGAGGATCAAGAAATAGTTGAAGGATTAATCAACATAATGATCCTATCTGTACGTAATAATATATCAACTGATCATATTCTTAAAGATCAAGTTGAGAATCATGTTGTAAAAAGATCATGATTCATCTGTATTGATTATAACGTTAAAGTACATAATCTCATAATATAATGCTGTAATGTACAATGATGTATAAATAAATACATGCATGAAATGTTTATATAAAGAGAGAGAGGGTGTTATCAGGTTGCAACGATTATAAGTAACATTAGAGTGGATTCGAAATTAGAAAGCAGAATCGACTCGATGTATGAAAATATCAGGTTACCAAGATGATGAGTAATATCAGGATTGAATCCAAATATAAGATTAGTCCCATATATGAAAGTATCAGGTTACAAAGATAGTGCATTATACAAAGGTCCAACCTGACAAAGTAATTAGACGTAGTAGGTATCATTATCTATAAAATAAATGGGTTTGATTCATTGCTCTGAGATGATTGAAGGTGAAAATACAACAATTGCAAGTCAAAGACCTTTTTTTCAAACTATGAATTCTGTTAGATCGAAATATTGAAGGCTTTTTCTTTCAGGTTAAAGAGATATATTTTGAGTTTGAGGCAAAAACTCGGTCATCATTAATCAACCCGGATTATATATAATTGAAATTTTAAAACAAATCTTCACATAATTTTGAAAACATGTTTGGTACTATCAAAGCTTAAGACACGTTTTAGTTCCTAAAACTTCCGTTATCTGTTGTGAAAATGTAAAAGGATTTTAGTTGCAATATGCTTGCACACAACTTTTAAATCTTACAAAAATATGAATCCTTATTAAAGTTATTGCTGGTATGAGTTTAAAGAAGCCAGACTTGAGACAAAGAACTGATTTAGATGGCAGCCATGGTTCATAAAGAGGAGAGGGATAAAGTTTTCAAAACTTATCTATAAAATCATAAAAGATAAAATGATAAATGAAATAAAGATAATGTTTAATTTTTTTTTCCTTTCTTTAGTTTACAAAATGTCCCATATGTTTGTTATCAACATTATATTGAATGTATAATAAAATATCGAAATCTTTTTTTTTTATTTTAAACATCGCATTTCCTATTTTGAAGATATTTGTATTAAACTATTGTGTTAAACCAATGTTAAAAAAATGTTAATTTTGGTCTTATCAAAATATTAAAGTTTTTTACTTCACGTTTCTGGGAGAGTTTAATAACGAAATAACGATATGTTAATTTAAAACAATTTCTGTTGTGAAGAAGCAAAATCTATGAATTGTATTTTTTAATTAATCAAACCAAGGTTTAAAGGGTACCATTGTAAATCGTTCATGCTACAGGATGAATGGAGGGCCCAAATTTAGTACGGGACTTCAATGACCCCATGGAAGGTTTATGGACGGTCAAATTTTCAAATATTAGCCTCCAACAAAATTTGATTGTCATTAAATTTTGAAAATCCACGAAATTTTATTTGATTAAATCCGCGAACTTTTCTGTTTGTTTTTGTTTTACACTGTATACAAAGAGAAAATGTGCACAATTTAAAAAAAAGATGGGCAAGAATTAAAATAGAACGTGGGAATTGAGTGACACGAATATGAGATCGTCTTCGTTAAGAGATTGCAGTGTAATACCTGATTTCAAAAGTCATATATAATAAAATAATGTCTGCTGGGGTTTATTTTATGAAGACCTTGACAGCCATGGATTTTAATGCGACCGTTTTCGATTTGAAAATCCGTTTAGATGATTGATTTTTGAAAACAAAACTATCAACTATTTTTATAATTTTGGAAACGACAAAATCGTACTGTTTGGTTTCAAACCCCGAAGTTGAATATTGAGAAATTGTTATGGTCCCAAAGTCAGATGACCTGAGGTCGTTGACTTGATATTATTAAAAGTTAAATCTCTAGGGTTAATAAAGTATTAATTGTATTGTGGTTTGTCGTGAACTAAACATAAATATCATCAGAGTTATTTATTATTTTCAACAAAACATAATTCATTTTTCGTTCATGTAAATATATTAGGTTCTATTTTAAATACAATGTTGAACAATGTTTAAAGGATAAAATGGATTTGTTGCTTTGAATTTGAACAATTATTAAACCGATCAGAGTTGTATAATCCGAACCTGAACAAAAACTGTTTCCACACTCATGTATGCCGAGTTCATTAGCGCCTGATCCAATCAGGGTTCAGTCATGTGTTTGTTGTCTATTCTGAACCAATAGAAATTGTATGGCGTTAACATATATCTTCCTATCTATCTCATTATCCAATCAGAGATATGAATTCTTCAATCGGCCTATCAGTAAATGGAAATAATTACTTCTACTGAAACTATAGGAACCGGCTTGTCCAATGTACACGGTATTGTGAACCAAGCATGATTTGTGTACATTTAGGTTGACTGGATCTCTGTGATATTAAATACTAAGCGAAAAAGGTTACGTATTCCAACATTTTAAAGATTTCCTTTGACCCCGAGATGGTAAAATAACTTGATAAAGAAAATGAGCCTGCCACAAACTTTGATTTACTAATCCCTATATGCAACCCATTGTCGCAAACCTGAAATATTTAAAACTAGGAACTCTGTTAAACCAAATAGTCTAAATGTGAATTATTAAAGATTTAAACCATCAGGATGCAAAGAATAAAGGGATTAGACTCAATTTATTTCAAATTTAGTCTCAACGTAAAAAAACATAAACAATTTCAAATACAAATGAAAACAAAGCCTGGATTGTTTATTTGAAATTGAATCTCAGCGTAAAAAAAAAAATACAATTTCAAATACAAATGAAAACAAAGTCTGGATTGTTTATTTGAAATTTAATCTCAACGTAAAAAAATATACAATTTCAAATACAAATGAAAACAAAGCCTGGATTGTTTATTTGAAATTTAATCTCAACGTAAAAAAAAAATACAATTTCAAATACAAATGAAAACAGAGCCTGGATTGTTTATTTCAAATTTAGTCTCAACGTAAAAAAATTAACAATTTCAAATATTACTGAAAACAAAGCCTGGATTGTTTATTTGAAATTTAGTCTCAACGTAAAAAAATATACAATTTCAAATACAAATGAAAACAAAGCCTGGATTGTTTATTTCAAATTGTTTCGAAAACAGAACTATAATTTTCTTCTAAGAATGCGCAGCTTGCAAATATAAATAACGTTTACATTTATTACATTTTACAATTCAAGGGAGTGTTCGCTAAAACTAAAAAGGTAGTTTTAAATAAAATATAAATATAAAAAAGTCAAGAATCGAATCATTGAATGGTGCTTGACTGTGATGCAGTTCTTTTTGAAAAAATTGACCTTATATTTTATTTTTATGAAAGGCAAAACAATATCTTTCTGGAAAAACTAATGACAAACAAATGTGTTTGGATTTGGATATGTGAATCTGTACTTTGTTTAAATTCTCAAATACGTTTTTTTAAGATTTGAGAATTTTACTAAAAACAATTAAAACAAAGTTTTGGATGTTCTTAGGAACATTTTGTAAAGGTATCTTAAGTTTAGTTATGATCCTGATCAAGAAAATGTTCTCAAAAAGTTGAAAATTCCTTTAAAATCTAAAAATGTTAGCTGTATTTTAATAATGAATTATAAACATTTAAATCCAAATAATTTAAGTCTGGTTTAAATTATTAATTAAAGTTTTATTCAAAACTTTTCCAAAAATTACTTTCTCATTGATGCTTAATTATACAAACACTGTTTGATTTTAACTTGTGTCATGCGGGTCAAATTGAAACTTTTATGTTTTGAAAAATTAGATCAAATCATTAATCGCACAAAGAAAACAACATTAGATTAAAAAGTTTAGAGACTTTTTTATATGGTCCCATCTATAAAGCATACAAATTTACATAGTTCTATTATGGCTTTTCAAAGAAATTTAAAATACTTAAAATAAAATATTTTGTTTAGACTTACAAAAATCATTTGGCATTTAGTTTAGATTATTTTTTTTTCATTTCGTACCGTTCCAATAGAGGGCCTTAGGATGTCGTTGTAAATAGAAGGTAGCAGTCTGAATCTATGTGAGATCTCTTTAAATGCAGCAGTCTGGAACTATGTAAGATCTCTATGA